CCCCCCAGGTGGGAACATTCTAGTTTGGTGAGCTAACGAGAGGCCATTTGTGGGACTGCAGTTGAGGAAAAATAAATAAATGACATGACGCTCAGAAACGACAGACACGAAATGGCCGCCTGGCTGGCCAGTCGGATATGATGTCCGAAAAAGAAAAACGGCAAATTCAACCAAAGTAAAGCCGCTGCCCCCACGCATCCATTTTGCGATGGGCTTTCTCCTCACGAGGGTCGCGCCGGGGCCTCACCCAGCTGTCTTTGGCCAGTAGGCGGGGGACCCCCCCCCCCCCCCCAAGCGCTTGCCAGCCCATCGCAGGGCACACGCAGAGACCAACAGCCATCGCGCTCACGCTCACACCGAGGGACAATTTGGAGCGTTCGATCAGCCTGCCCGCCACGCATGTGTTTCGGAATGTGGGAGGAAAGCGGAGTACCCGGAGAAAAGCCACGCAGGGCCCCGGGGAGAACACGCAAACTCCACACGCGAAGGCCGCCGCCGGAATGGAAAGCCGCAACTCTGCGCTGTCAAGCGCCCTCTGCCGGCCCCAAAGAAGCTTCTTTCTTTGCGCGCATCGTTCTGGATCGTGGCGTGCTTTTCATGGTGAGAGCCAAAAGAGCAAGTGAGCTCAGGAGGCAGATCGCGGCGACTGGAATCGAGGAGCCGGATGACCCGCGGCGGCGCTTCGTGCGCTTCCTCGGATGGGCTGCCGCACAATCACTCGCTGAAATGTTCAAACGGTGCACAACGTGACGCTGGCATCCATTTTTCTTTTCGTCCGGTCCACTTGCATTTCACTTCAATACGTTTGCATGCAACGGGGTTTTTTTTTTTTTTTGTTCCTCCCTCCCCAGACATGGAGGTCCAACTCCTGACTGAACTTGGGTTCATTTTTTGTTGCAGCGGATGAAAGCTCAGAAGCCCGCTCCCGTTTGTGATGAAGGACGACTCTCACCATGGGCACCGAGCCGAGCGGTTTTGGGGCGGTCTTAGAGAAGTGCTGCTCAAAGTGAACAAGGAACACCAAATCTTGGACGCCGAGCTTTCTCCGACTGACTTTGGCGGTGAGTCGTTGCGTCAAGTGCTCGCGCTTTTGTGATGTCAAAGCCAAAGCGGCCAAAGTAGGACGCGCGCGCCGCCGGCTTTCGACTCCCACACGCGAGCTTCCTCCCCGGGGACTTTTGCAGCCCGAACCCAAATCGGACGCGTTCACAAGATTCACGTCCCCTTTCCAGTGACACGTTTCGGATTGGAGGCCATCCGGATGGGGGGGAGTCAAGTCAAGATTTGCTATGCGGCCCTACCAGTCCCAACACGGACGGCATTCGGATGAACATCGCGTTGGTCGGATGTGATTTGGGCAGAGAAAAAAAAAAACCCACCCGTTTATAGGGGCGAATATGGACTGAAAATGGCGCGGGACCTTCAATCCCTCGGGTGACGGCGCATCAAAAAAATTGGGCCGAGGAGACGGCCGCACGGGCTCGGCAACCACTTCAGACAACCAACGGAGATTGCCGCCACGCCCGAGAGCGCAACTCAATCATTCGAGCGGCGCCAGGCAAAATCCATTTCTCGACAACGCCCGGAAGCGCCCGGGCCCGAGCGAGCTCATCGAAGCCGGACCGCCGTGGTGTGACGAGTCCACATTTCAAAGCCATTCGGGAAAGCGAAGAGGAAAAGAAGCATCCGGCCCGTTCTGCACGTCGACCGGCGTCCGGGACGCTACGGGGGCTGCGCGCCTCACTTTCTCGTCCGCAGAGGCGCCGCTCGTCGGCGGACGCCCCGGCTCATTTCGGCAAGACGACGGCAAAGCGCATTCTGCGCGTGTTACGACGGCGCGGCTTCGGAGGCAATGATTGCGGCGACCGCGCCGGTCCGCCGGTGAAGAAGCGTCAAATGCGGAGGCCCCCGGGCCGATGCCGCACACGGAGCAGCAACGGGAAGAGAAGGCCACCTGCAAAGCTTGGCCGATTCGTGTCCTGGCCTCCCAAGCATCGACTGAACGCCGTTCAAAGAAAAAATGGCCACGTCACGCAGTGGACGCCGTCCCCGCTTTTTGGAAGCCGTTGCAGCCATAAGTTAATGATGATCAAGTTTACACGTTTCCACATCAACTATCTCGTCTTTGTCGCGGATTCAATTATCTGCAGGTGGAACATGATTGGCAAATGGCTGTACTCGGCCGCACCGCAATCGGCGTCGTACGACAGCAGGGGTCCCCAACCGCGTAGCGGGCCGCACAACAACAACTTGCATTCATTCCGTTGCAGTTATTGTGGAATACGAAGGGTCTTTTATTTTGAAAAACGGCCCGACGCTCCGTGACATCCGTCCGCGTCACCCGTGACGCACGTCAAATCGCGCTTCTCCGTCACGTGACTGATGACGCTCAAAACAAAACGCCGGAGCTTGCTCAACGAGGAAAATCAACTGCCGCAGATGGCCAATGATGGCGGCCGTGAAAGTACGTTGGAGACAAGCGGATTCAAGTTCTGGCTGAATACGCCGAGATGGCCACAATAGCGCTGTTGCTATTTCCGACACGCTACCTGCGCGAGGCGGGGCGTTTGTGCGGCGACTAAAACAAAATGACGAAGGAGACCGGACGTAAAGCGCGCACTTCGGGCGTCGTCGTCTCCTATTACGACCGCCCGCTTGCAGAAAATCAAGCTCGGGGCTGTGGTGAGTCGACGTTTTCATGCACTTTGAATTGGCGTTGTATCGCATTTTGAAGGCACGAAACACGAGTGTCGCGATCAGAGCAGACGCTCCTCGTGTTTATGACGAGCTCTCCAAAACACCACAGTATTCGTGCAGCTCTGACCATCTTATTTTGGAGACGCCTTAAATGCCGCTGCGTGAAAATATTGTCTGACATAAAGCGGTCGGTGGGGCAAGAAAGGTTGGGGACCCCCGTACCACAGGACTGAAACAAAGTGATGGGACGCGGCACACAGGCGCCGACGGCGTCGCCTCCGTCAGCGAGTCAACGCGCCCGCGGCAGGTCGGAGCCGTCGGGAATCGGAGCCGCTCTCCTTCCGACTCACCTGGTGATACTCGGAGAGGATGTTGTGCATGTCGGCCACGTCCTCGCCGGAGATTTGCTTGACGATGAGCGTGCGGTCGTAGGAGTTGAGGAGCAGCCCCTCCCCTTGGTCGTTGACGCTCCTCGTCGGGGGGCTGCGGGTCAAAGACACCTGGCAAGTCGGGGGAGAAAGACGGCCGGTCAGCTTTCAACACGCCCAACAAATCCATCGCTACATTTACATACATCGAGCCCCCCGCGTCCAAACATCAATCGTTCTTTTTTTCGGAGGTGGCCGCGTACGGACCAAAATACGCCCGCTCATCAAGGCCAGTTCTTTTCCATCCATCACGCAGGAGATGTCCTTCGCGGCTCGGTGGAGCGGACGCCGACGGCGACAAGTCACCTACCTGATAGTCCAGATCTTCAATACCGAAGCGCTCCCTTAGATTTCGAAAGACTTGAGGACAGTACTCCTTGAATTTAAAATGGCCGGGAAGATTTTCTCTGCGCCAAGAGAGGGAAGCACGGTGATGTCATTGAACCGTCGGCGGAGCGGAGCGGTGCGGCCTCCGTCGAGCGCGTTCGCTCTTACTTGTTGAAGAGGTGGTTGGTCACTTTGATCTTGGTGTTGGCCTTGAAGTCATCGGGCAGCAACATGACGGGCACGGGAACCTGGTTCAGATCGTTAATCTGGAGAAGAAAAGCCCACAAGTTCTGTTAGCAAATCAGGCTCAAGCGTGAAATGGGCAGGCTGGTGCGTTACCGTGCTCCCGTTCGCTACGGCGTCACACCTCAGGTCACGTGACCGAGGTGCGACGAATGACAGTTCCTCCGAGAAAGCGGATCGATTCTCTTGCCGTTGAACTGAATGAGCCATTTGAAAAACAAGTGCTCTTCGGTCGGAGAAACAATCCGCATTTTTTTTGCTCATCTATGGCCTTGGACTGTCAATTGGAAATTTTGAAAATGCATCGGTTGGTTCGCCGTGCCTGGCACCTCGCCGGTGCCCCAATCACGAAAAAAACTGCAAGGACAAATTCTCTGCCAGCTCAAGCGTGCCAGCTCGCCGCGTACTGGCTAGAGAAGTCGCCCCGAAGATGCGGCTTCATTCCTTCGCGTCGTGACTTCAAATCCCACTTTGTAGCTTTTGATTTCATTGTATTTATATATATTCATCTATTTTAGGGATTGCACGTTCTGGTGGCCAACAAACAGGTGGTTCATCACAAAACGAGGCAAAATGTATCCCCCAAAAATGAAAACACACACGCGCACACACACACACAC